GCACCTAATGATTAGATTTTATGACTTTTTTATGAGTCATTAAGCACCATGGTTGTTAAATTAAAACAGTTGTTATTAAATGAAAACATCCTGGTTGTTAAATGAATCTGTTCCTGTGGGTGTTTTTTTTTTTGCCAAAAACAATCCCCAAAAGCTGAAAATTGGCAAACAATATCCTAAATTGTAGTAACGTGACCACAGAATACTGCAACCAGTTGTAAAAGTGAGCAAGTAGTTTTTGATGGGTCCATCATAATTTCAAACAGTTGCTAAATGATTGGTTATTAAGCAAAAACTACCTATATTCAATTCTGTTTCTATTTATTTGTTTGTTTATCTGTGTTCTTTGGTATTCTTGGGATTACCATTTTTAAACATAATTTATAATCAGATTATTCGTTTTCCTAATTTCTATTGGATTATGGATTCCATAGCCCTTTTAAGTCCATTGGGAATGTGCGATATAACTGCTGTATTATTTGCCAAGAGGGGAGGGATTCCATGTCATAAAATTTTAGGGACATTAATGTCAAAATTAGTCAGGCATTGAACTAGTATAAAAATGAAACTGGTCTGAAGCAAGGATACAGCCTGCTGTCCTCTTTTTCTATGTGTATGGGTCTAGAGCAGGGGTCTCAAACTCAATTTACCTGGGGGCTGATGGAGGCAGAGTCTGGGTGAGGCTGGACCGCATAAGGGATTCCACAAAAAACATTTAAAAAATATCCTCAAGTGTTATACTTTCATATCACGGTGTGGGCCACAGGATATTGTCCTGCAGGCCGCAATTGGCCCACCTCTGGTCTAGAGAATGGCCTGTAAGAGCAGCACCTGATTTAGGAATAGGGTCCAAGTGTAATTTTTGTATTAAGAAAAGAAAAGAGAGAGAGAAAATAAATCATTTCCTATATTTTAATCAAATAGAATTGAATTCAGCCTTAAAGTCAGAAACATCACATAGAGGGAAGATTTAATTTACTTACTACATTCAGTACATTGATGCATCTGTAATTAGTTGGGTCTTCTCTGTGCTGTGTGTGTGTGTGTGTATTGCAACAATATCCCAGTCCTTCAGCATATGCCCTGTCTTGTCAATATTAGCAAAAAAAGGATTCAGGAAAATGTGCCTACTGAACCAACTTGGTTTTAAGGAATTTAAGTAGGGGACACTTGGTGCCTTGAACCTCTGTGTTCTAAGATTTTAATCCATTTGACCATTTCAGAAGAAATTGGTGGCCAGAAGAGTGTCAGGAACAAGTTCATTGTGAGCGATTGTCTGAATTTGACAGCCAAATTCTGCCAAACCTGTCCTGAGAATTGATACTGGATTTGTTCAAGATTTCCCTTAAAAATTGGAGTAATAATTTGCCAGAAGAGGAAGGAGTTACTTTCTGTAACTAACTTAATCAGCTTTTGCCACTCCTTTGTGGCTCTATTTGTCTCTCAGGAGGGATTGACACTGTTTTTCAATAATTAATTAACAGTTGAAGATGTTCCATGGAATGATTTAATCTAAACACTTGGTATGTTACCTTGAACCTCCTCTTGAGATGTATACGCTCACTGTTGGTGTCTTTTTTCAGGGATCAGAATGACTGAGGAGGTTCCTCTCACCAGGTCTATATAATGATTGTGCTCATTAATGTGTTGCTCATAAAGCTCTAAACAGTCATTATGAAGTTCCATTAGTTGCATCTGAATCCCTATGGTGGTCGCAGAGCAGAATCCCTATGGTGAATATAGAGTTTAAGAGCAGACAATGCTCTTAAGCTTATTTCAGTTCTTCTAACGTGGATGACAGAATTCTGATTTTGTAAGACTGGGACAAATGTTTACATTTTTAAAAATCTCATCAATAAGTGGCATTCTTAATATTATAGATAGTCCTTGCAATAATAATTGGGATTAAGAACTCTGACATTAAATGAAGTGGTTGTAAAGGTGATGTCACATGATTGTACTGAGTTACGACTGTTGTTCCAGCAATTCCAGTTGAAGTCATGAGGCAAATCCCACATAGCTGTTAGGTATGTTGTCACATACTCACCATTTGCAATCTCCTGCTGGCTTTCCCAATGACTTTGCTTGTCAGAAGCCAGCAGTAAAGTTCACCAATGGTGATCACATGATTGTGGGATACTGGGACAGCCATAACTAACCAATCAGATGACAGCGGGAAGGGACCTTGGAGGCCTTCTAGGGTGGGCTTCAAAAATTTTAGCAAAGGGTTCTCTGCCCGGTTGCTGGGTGGGCGTAGCCATGGTGGGGTGGCATAGTCGGCCTCCTGCACCATGGTGTGTGTGTGGGGGGTATTTTTGCAGAGCCTTTCCTCAAGCCTCCAGGAGGGTGAAAACTGTCTCCCCGGGCTCCGGAGGCTTTCTGGAAGCCGGAAATGGGCCCATTTCCAGCTTTCCTGAACTTCTGAGAGACCTGTTTTTCACCCTCCCCGAGCCTCCATGCACGCCCTGCACTTACCTGCATCCAAAATGGGCCATGTGGGGACTCTTGGGAGGGGCAGGGTTGGGTGGGCAGGTCAGGGCCAGCCAGGAGTGGGATTTGGGAGTTCTCCAAACTGCACAGAATCTTAGCTAGGGGCTCTCCTGAACCCCTGCTAACCCTCAGCAGCCCACCCCTGCTTCTAGTCCAACCCACTATTCAAGCATGAGACCCTATACCATTTCAGACAAGTGACTGTCCTGTCTCTTCTTAAAAGCCTCCAGTGATGAAGCACCCACAACTTCTGAAGGCAAACTGTTCCACTGGTTAATTGTCCTCACTGTTAGAAAGTTTCTCCTTAATTTCGGGTTGCTTCACTCTTTGACTAGTTTCCAACCGTTTTTGCTTGTCTTGCTTTCTCGTGCTTTGGAAAATAACTCTGAGAACTGGCCATAAGTTTCCTCATTCAGTGCTGTCACAATTTTGAATGGTCAGTGAATGAATGATAGTTACTAATTGTGATTCTACTTTCACGTCATATAGAAGTGAATCCAGATGGTTGGCCATCTATCTACCTTATTCAGAATTTTTCATGATTTCAGATTTTATCTTACGGCTCCTTTAGGAGATGAGGTCCTGGAATTATTATTATTATTTTTTGCTGACAATGATATTTAAAGCACTGGTAGAATTATAAGCTCAATCAACTATGTGCCTAGTTGGGTATTTCAGTCTACTTCAATAATAAGTGTTGCTGCTGAGTGATCAGTAGGGCAGTTTTCAATGTACCTCAGCATATGGCAAATAATAAATGGAGAAAAAGATATGAAAAGGAAGTTCATAATTCGCAATAAATGTTTGGGTCTTGCAAGTAAACTTTGACTTCTGGTAACTGCCTAGACAATCCATGCAGTGTTCTTGGCCACATTTTTGGAAATGGTTTGCTATTGTCTTCTTCCCGGGGCTAAGAGAGAATGACAGGCCCAAAAATGACCAGTTGGCTTTTGGTGAGGTGGGGAAAATATACATAAAAATAACCAGAGGTTATAGCATTGTGTTGGATCGGTCAAAAAGTTACTTTAGCCTAACAAGTCACAGGTACAAGTCTGGAGAAAGTAGCAACACTTAAAAATAATCTAATTTTAATTGAGTGACTTTGATCTGTCATTTCTTGTTAGCTTGGAATACGTTATATGGACTTTTTAGATAAAAAATAGATAGATTTCCTGATTTATTATCCTGTGAGATGCTTGGAAAATTTGAAATGAATGTAGCCATAAGCTTTTTCTTTTTGAATCAGTCCTGTAAAATTGAAAGCAAAGTGAATGTATTGAAGAGAAAAATCTAATGGGTGCTGCAAGCTGCAGCATTCAGGAGATGTGTAGAGGATATTTCCAAATGACTGGGGAATACAGTGATTCTAACAATTGGGTTTGTTTTATTAGGTTCTGTCTGTGACATATAATCTCTATTTAGGTAATGTGTATACATCAGTCAGTTATACTTTTTTTAAAATCTAAAATTATTGAAATTAATTGGTGTATATAAGTTCATAAAACTCAGTTACAGTTATTTTTGCTAACTGAATATGAGTGAACACTGAATTTGGTTGAGAGTTGAAATAAATGTCATATGGAAGAGATTTATTATTATGATTCTCCTTTGTTCAAATTAAAACAAATGGCAGACACTGAGCCCACTTATTAGTCTGAGTTTGGATGAGAGAACCCCAACTCTTTCTAAATTATTTATCTTAAACACATGCGTGCATTATACATCACAAAAAGTTATTTGTCCCAATGAGGATACAGAGAGACAAAAATTAGTTTATAGGTGCTCTCTGTTTGGGAAGGGCTAACTTGGAGAATGTGAATCGGTTCATCTGTGGCTACCAACTACCATGGTTTCACACAATTCCACACTCTGCACCCCAAACTCCATTGTCCTCACCTTATGGTGCACCAGCACCCTGAGCACATTTTTGCACCCTCCCCCACCCAGAAGCAGCCACCCCAAACCAGCCCTTTGTGCACACCTAGTTTATCCTTCCCTACCTGGCAGAAGCTGCTTACCTACTTGTTATGATCCCCCTCTGACTTGCAACTTTCTGCCACTTCTCCACTGACTTCAGTTGTTGGAAAGCCAGCAGGAAGCTGTGAGAAAGTCCTCTCTTAATGACCCCTGAGGTAGCAATGGAGACTGCCAGATTGCTGTCACTAAGCAATGTGGGCACATGACATTACTTTTTATAATCACATTGCTTAGTAATGGAAGTTCCAGTGACAATTACTGTCGTTGACCAATGATTACCTGTATGGTAAGTACATTTACATGAAAATGTAATAATTATTTCCCCTGTATTCCTGCATTTGCTATCTTGGTCCCTCAAGGGTTGGTCTGTCATCTGCTGTCTTTCCTTTGTACTTCACAAGAGAACATAAAAAAAGCAAGAGATCTATCATAGGATCTGCTGCAAAACGGCCTGCATGGCTCCCTTTTAAATGTTGCTGTGACTCCAAAGGAAGCCTGACTCCAGGGTTCATGGTGCTGTTTTGGTTCCCTAGGCAACAGAATGGGGCTCAGACGAAGACACCAGAAGATCATGTCAAAGTAAAGGAAAAACTGAGGTAAGACTCCTATCTTATTTCTTCATATGTATGGAGACCCCCGTCATTAATATTAATGATTTCATGTAATTGTTTATGGGGAATTTTCACCTGAAAATGTGTGATACGAGTTGTTTAAAAGGATGCTATTATAACAAAAAGGTAAAATATGTGTTAATTCTAATGGCATATTTTCGGATTCTGGATAATAGTCTTTTAGGAATGTTTTCATGGAAAATTAAAGTTAATCTCCACTTTTTGGGAGGAGACTAGAACAATGGATTTCTGTGGGATAGATGGGTCTATCTACCCATAGAACATCTACTTAGATAGAAGATCTACTTGCAGGGTTTAGTTTAAATTTCTGATTAAGAGTTAGTTTGGTTTTACTATAATTTCAGGGAAGTATGCTTTTGGATTTAAATCACCATGATGCCCATCCAACCAATTCCTTCTCAAGTGTTCCACTCCTGGTTCAGAAAAGTTTTATTTTATTTATTTATTCATTTAATTTTTCAAACGCTTACAATATAATAGAAATAAGAATAAACATAAGGATAAATACATGAAATAGGTACTTATAATTGGGGACAATAGGACAGGGATGGTAGGCACGATTGCGCACTTATGCATGCCCCTTACAGTCCTATTAGGAATGGGTGAAGTGGAGGTTAGTTTCAGAGTGGGGGTTTGAACATGTGACAACAGAATCAGGTAGCGAGTTCCAGACATGACCACTCTGTTGCTGAAATCATACTTCTTGCAATCAAGTTTGGAGTGGTTTACATTAAGTTTATATCTGTTGTGCGCTCTTGTGTTGTGGTTAAAGCTGAAATATTCATTAACTGGTAAAACATTGTATCATATGATTTTATGTACTATGCTTAAGTCCAGTCTTTGCCGGCATAGTTCAAGGATGTCTAAACTTAGAATCTCAAGCCTGGTGGTGTAGTATTCTGTTGCAAACAGAGGAGTATAGTACTCTTCTTGTAAAATACTTCTGGACTCGCTAATTGTATTAATGTCTGATATACAGTGCGGATTCCAGACAGTGGAGCTGTATTCAAGTTCATAGAATACAGTTACTTGATTTGAATTAAAGCTGTGACGTGTGCCTTTATTTCCATGAAATGAGTCATTTGAAGTTGCATGGCATAACATCTCCTCCTAGTTGGCACTTGAATACAGTGGATCATCGGCAAGATCTTTTAGTGGACATATTACCAATGCTTCCACATCCAAGCATCTTGGATCTTTCCTCAGTAAAAATCAGATGCCTATTTTATAGGTTAACTCAAAGAGGAAAAAAATCAGCAAATTGTACCCAAATTCAAAACTACTTTACCACTCAAAAAAGCTGATGGCTAAGATTGAACTCTTTCAAGACAGAACTCTTTTGAAGAACAGCAAGAATAACAACAAAACAAGCCTTAACAAGTCAATTCTTATCTTTTTAGTTTTCCAAATGTTTATGTTTCAGTCCTTATTTTACCAAAGTGGAATGCGGCCCGTATTCTATGTCTTCCTATAAAAAAAAACTGCTTGCAAGCTTTACCAATAAAGCAGAAATAAACTATAGTAAAAGAAGAAAAAAGTGATAAATCTTTCTGAATCTTCTGCAAGCTGCACAACATTGATTAATAAAATCATGTATCTGAAGAAATAAACATAGGTATCTGAGAACATGTTGATAACAGTGTTTTCCAGCCAGCAAGATACTCAGAAAGAAAATTAGCACAGACAACAACAAATATATTAAAATTGTCTCTTTATTCCTGAATGAATTTCTTTTGAAAAGACTGTGGAATATAGTCTTCCTCATTTCTTAGACATAGCTAAACTTTTAACTAACCCTGGAGATAATGCTCAGTAATATACATTGATTACAAGATGGTGATCATAGAACTGACATTTAAGCCTTTCCTCCCTTGGCATTGCATTTAGATACAGAGGAACAGAGTGTCACGCATAGTGTGGCAACTGTCATTTTTCCTGTTTTGTCATACAGCTCTCGATGTACTGTATATTGTTGCTTCATCTTCTTTCTGAGATGTTAATAGAAAACCCTTAATAGTACCTGATCTCAAACAAGGTCCCTTTGAAAGTCCTACCATCCAAACTCAGCAACTCCAGCATGGAACCCATGACTCTTTTCTCAAGAAATATAATCATCACTACTTTTAATTCATCACTCATTGACACAGTTGCAGCAATCATGGCAGAAGTGCTATGTCCTAGAAGGATAAAAAGTTTGCTTGGGTGAGCTGGTGACAACTTAATACACCTGGTCTAAAAATGTGGTACCAATATCTGGATTAATAAAGTGGCATTTCTCTGTGGACTGTTAACCAGAGTGGCAATGAGTTTCTAATTTCTTCCTCAACCAATGTGCTACTATTCAGTAGGCATATTTACTCTGTTGAATTCTTCAATGCCACAAAGGAGCCTATAGAACAGAGAATGTAGGACCCAAAGATAGGATCCTTATTTAGCCACCCTGACACTGACCAGACACTACTGGAAGTGAAAATACAACCCATGCCCCATCTCAGTGACATCATTCTGCTCCTAGGAATTAGTTGGCATTTATTAGGATGCTACAGTGCTATGAAGTGACTCATTCTTAAAAGACAGCGCTTGGAGGTACCCACTTCTCTAACTGGATGTCTCTAGGTTGAATAAAGATAGGAAGAACAGCTTTCTCTTGGAGAGAACAAAGGAAAAAAGCCTAAATCCCCATTATCTGTTTCTTAATACATCTTTCTAAAGTCCTGATGAGCCATCAGATAGTACTGAAGTACATAATTCAGAGGTCCAAAGGGCCTAAGACAGTTTTCCAAGTGTCTTGTTAGTTTTCTTGTTATTAGTTAAATAATGGTGAGGAAGTGTCTTGCAATTCTTAATTATGCTTTATCAAGGTCCTGTTTGCAGAGGGATTCTCCAATAGATTGAATGCTACTAACTTACAAAGTGTCTTGTTTATAGAAGAAAAATAAAAATTAGTGGGACTCAGCAGAAGACTCAGCAAATTCTTATGGCAGTCCAAAGACCATCTAATTATTAATACATATAGCAATAGCACTTATATAACATTTCACTGGGGTTTATAACCCTCTCTAAGCAGTTTACGGAGTCAGCATATTACCCACAACAATCTGGCTCCTCATTTTACTGACCTCGGAAGGATGGACGGTTGAGTCAACCCTGAGTTGGTGAGAATCGAACTGCCGAACTGCAGTCAGCTGGCAGTCAGCACAATTAGCCTGTAATACTGCAGTTAAACCACTGCGCCACCATGGCTCTAAAGTGGTATAGGGCATTCATTTGTGAATTTTATCTCTTTCCATTTTATTCCTTACATTTGAAGAACTGTTGCAAATTGTTTTCATAAGATCTGTATCTCCATGCCAGTGCAGTCTAAATATTTATTGCAACTCTCTTTCCTTGAAGAAGTGGAAAAGCAATCTTGACAGCTATCCAGCAAATCATAAGTAACATTGTGTATGTAAGTTAAATGTTGGCTTATACTCAGCTAGGCAAGCATTTAAGTCAAGTGCCAGCCAATTCCTGATATATATAGTATACAGCAGGGGTCCCCAACCTGTGGGCTGTGGCTCACTATCAGGCCATGGGCTATTTGGAATCAGGCCATATGAGCAGCAGCCCCACTCACACATGCGCAGCCCCGCTCACACAAGTGGCAGATGTCATTGCTCACACCCTCACTCGAGTGAATGGCAGGCACATGTACCTGCCACTTACCTAAGTGAAGTTGTATGCACACATACCTGCCCCTCACACAAAACCAGTGATAGGATTCAGCCAGTTCGCATCACTTCAGAAGAACAGGTTGTTAACTTTCTGAGCAGTTTGGTGAACTGGTTGTGGAAATATCATTAGGGCAGAGAACCGGTTGTTAAATTATTTGAATCCCACCATTGCACAAAACCATTCCCTCTTCCCCACCTCTTCCACACACTGGGCCACCAACCCAGAAAGCTTGAGGAACACTGGTATGCGGTATACATTCTAATCTATAATCTTGAACTATTTATGGATAGTCCAAACTCAAGCCTGGTTAAAGCTGTTTTCATAGAAGCAAATGTTCTAGAATATTATGGAGAATCAACAATTTTCTTTAATTAGCAACTAATCATTGCTATTTAAACAGGACAAATACAACATACAGAACACTAGGGCAGTAGAACAGTGAAATTAGTTACTGTTGAGCTACTAATAGAGAGTTGCATTTTTATTTTCTGCCTATGTAAAAGACAGTTTGCAGGGAGCATGTGAACACATCAGAGAGAAAAGACCAAACTGAAATTTTCCTGATTCTGATATGCCACTTGCAGTGTGGTTGGAAGGGAATTAACTGGATGTGATCATAAAACTCAGCTCCAAGCATGTATATTTTTGTTTGTCATTACTGCAGTTGCTAGTTCTGTATAGAACAAACGACAGCTTATCTTTTTTCTGAAAGATAATGTATTGAAGCTTTGCTTCCAGGCTGAGATAAATTTGAGATCTGATCCCTCAGCAAGTCATCATGGAAATGAAAAGTAAACCATGTGAACCTCTCCAAGGAACACTGTGATCTTGATACACTCATTCTGTGTGCTCCCCAGGCCAACTGTGACAGTTCCCATTCTGCTATCTACTCAAATAAATGTCTTGACTTCCTTTATAAAATACATCCCCAAACAACAAGGACATCTGACACTTTGCTTGTAGGCCACATGTGTAGTGCTTATTGTGGTTAATGTTTCAGTGAAATGATTCCAATTTCATAAATTAAAGGAAGTTGTGATATCTGTAATTATGGAAGGATCTTCCTCTGCCTTCGGGGTCATTTGGAGTGGTTGTGTATTAACAAAGCTCCCAATATTGTAATGTTTTTCAAGAATTGCTTACCCTTACACAAGCTTCTATGTTGGGAAACTGGAAAAAATGTTTTTGACCTTCTGGAAGAGCTGGTTCTTCAGCTGCAGTCTCTTGTTGGTGGCCATTTATAATCTCCAGATAATGAGAAAGAAATTGAACATAAGATCATTTGAACAAGTTACGTTTCCTGAATATATATCAAACTTAACCCCTTTCCCCAGAAGCTGCACAAATAGAAATCCATAGACCACAGTTATTTCAAGCTAGAGGTGTTTAAACAAGACAAAACAAAACCTCTGACCCATTGTATGGCTGCAATCAAAGTTGTTGACATTTCTTTATAAGATAGCCTAGAGGGGAAAATAGTAAGGTATAGTTTTAATCAACCAGCTAATTTCTCTAAAATGGCAGAGAATAACATTTATACAAAAGCTTCTATAATTTATGGGTTGGATAGGAAGTCTCTGTACATAGTAATTGGAGTGTTTTTGATTATGCAGTTTTACCAGTGTTGCGCTTCTTATATTTGGAGATTTATTGAATTTCTGTAAAATAGACTGTTTGAACAAAGAGACTGATCAAACTGAATGAAATATGATGATTTTCCTCCTTTGGTGATTGGATCATGCAATGTCTCAGATTTATGTTTATTTATTTTATCTATATTTCACACTTCTTAACCACCCATCTCCCTAAGAGAGGCGCTCTGAGTTATGCCAATAGTTTTGCCAATAGCCCAGTTCTCTTTTACAGAATGTACTGCAAGGGGGATTCTCAGTTTTATGAAAATGAATTTTCCTGGCTTGCTCAATACTGAATTTGTAACAAAGGCTACAGCAAAGATTTGTTTATATTTAACTTTAGCTTTACATACATTGCAATCTGGATTTTCTTAACTGTAATTCAGTGTTTCTTGCAAGCGCTTTCTCTTCAACTGAATTTTGCAACCCTTAATAAAGAGTCTGAATCTACCAAATTCTGTGTGCTGCAAGCTACACTGTGTATATTTTTTTAAAAAAATCTAAATAAATTGGGAGGGAGAAGATTTGAATGGTCTTTAACATCCAGTTATATCATAGTTTTGTGTTCTAAAAACAGTTGGGATTACTTGATTTAAAATAATGGAGAGGAGATTAATAAAATTAAAGTACATTTTTATGAAAGGCAAACACTCAAAAATCTGTGACTTTGATCTTTTCTACAGTAAATTACGTTTCCCAACTTGGGAAAGTCCAATACATAATTTTGGGGGTATCTGTCTTGAATTTAGTGTTCTTTGATCGCTTACATGCTTAATATCATTAGTTAGTATTTAAAATTAAACATGGCATATATTTTTCTAAAAGTTATGCTCTTTAATTTATCATTATATTTCTCCAGTTATTCAGTGAAAGACAATTGATATAGAGGCATTCTCATCCGTGTTACTGTAGCATGATATTTACAACAGAGTGTGAAATGGAGAACATGCAGAATTCTTGAATTGTCACAACAATGCATGCTAGAGAACTCTGAAGTATTCAATTTTTCCCCAAAGCATGCTACTCAGTGGCACAGAAGTGATTGCTGAAAGTAAGTCATCCAAATCAAAAGCAGTTGGAGATAATCTGGACATGGCATTCTGAATAAAACAAGCTTTCTTTTTTTAGAGCTAGAACACCTCTAGAAACTATTAAACTATACAAGTAATTACCCTGTTCTTCAGAATGCTCCATTCCCAGCTCAGCAGCAGATCCCAGAAACAGACCAGTTACTTACTATCTTTGCTTGGAACTAAACTCTAATAAGCTTAGCAGTTTAGATTGGCCATCTTTCTGTAAAGTGTCTTTTCTTGTCTTTGCTTTAGGAGGAATGCCAAAACTATGTTCGCGTTCTCATTGTTTATGGCAAGAAGGTTTTCACTTGCGGCACAAATGCTTTTTCACCAGTATGTTCCAGCAGACAGGTAAATTGTACCCTTCCCTTTTCAGGATTTGCTGGAGAATAAGAATGGAAGTATGATAAAGGACACCCTGTTTCTTATAAATCACACTAGGGATGAGATACGTTAATGTTGCATTAATTGGATTTAATAGGTGCCACTGTAAGAGACAAGAAGGAAAAAGTAATAATAAAGGACAGCATATCTTACAGTACAAAGAGGATAGTTGCAATTGTTGACATTAAAAAATGTGTTGTGCCTTTTTTGCAACATAAGCAGATGGGCCAGTTCTACTTTCTACTAAAAATTATGTCTGTATTCATTAGTTTATCATGTCTGTACTGTTATATAGAGCTGCTTGGGAGATGCTCTGAAAAATGCTAAAAACTACTCTTGGTCCAAAATTCCAGACAAATATTTAAAGTGAATAAAAAACTAAATTCAAAATGTAGGATTTCATAAAAGGAACAACTAGACACAAGGACAGGTTTTTTTCCCCCAAACACCATTACTCTGGTAAACAAATAATTCCCTCAACACTGTCCAACTATTAACAAAGTCTGCATTACTATTATTATTAATCTTCTCATCGCTCCTTATCACCCATCCCCTCCCACTTGTGACTGTATGACTGTAACTTTATTGCTTGTATCCTTATGATTTATACTGACTGTTTCCTAGTATGATTTGATTGCTTATTGTACCCTATGACTATCATTAAGTGTTGTAACTCATGATTCTTGACTCTTGACGAATGTATCTTTTCGTTTAGGTACACTGAGAGCATTTGCACCAAGACAAATTCCTTGTGTGTCCAACCACTTGGCCAATAAAGAATTCTATTCTATTCTATATGTAATTCTGTTGCTGGAACTTGCTTCTAGTTGTTTCTGGGTTAAACCTAGAGCTTTGCGATAATCAGTCAGGCCTTCCTGTGTGTGTCCCAGTGTCCCCAGAAGCAGTCTTGCATACTTGGAATCATTGAGTGTATCTCCAAGAGTAGGACTTTCTTCAGAGCCCTACCTGAGGGACTCAAATCCTTTTCCCGTTGCAATGGAATTTCAGGGGTTAGGTAAAGTCTTCCATATGAAATATGAGATTCAGCTTCAATGTATGAATGAAGAACTGAAATGGGTGAATTACAGTCTTTTAGATGAGAACTTAGATGAGAAGAATGCATTGAACCATTTTGAGAAGATGAAGATGTGACCCTAGAATTGAGATAGATCCAGGGACTGGCATAGAAAGTCAATCAGTCAAGAACCAGAAATAGCAATGGAATAGATGTTTTTAGGACAATAATACTTTGCCCGATAATCCTTATGAAAGAGATGGGGAACCTTGGACTTTCCAGATGTCACTAAACTACAGTGTTCTGTTACTTCACCCAAAATAGCTAATAACGAATGCCGCTGGGAGTTGTTCAATAACATCTGGAGGACTATTTTCCCTGCTGTGCCCCTTAGGTCCTGGTTGTGCATGTATTAAAAATAAAAGCATAATTAACTCTAAAGGGCACAGGTGTAGTCTGCTACCCCATGGCAGATCATTAAAATAATTAAAGTCCTTTTATCATAGTTCTTGCCCTGAGTGCATATAGCACCTTCCAGAGTTACAGTGAAGTGAGATATTACACATTTTGTTGGTCAGCTGTATTTGTTTGTTTTTTCTCACTAGCTTCATTGTTTTATCTTCCGGCTTTTTTTTTTTTTAAATACAGGTAGGAAATCTTAGCAAAATAATTGAAAAAATAAATGGGGTAGCTCGCTGCCCCTACGACCCCCGGCACAACTCAACAGCTGTGATCACATCCCAGGGAGAACTGTATGCTGCGACAGTCATTGACTTTTCTGGACGGGATCCAGCCATTTATCGCAGCCTTGGAAACATCCCACCTCTTAGAACAGCACAGTACAACTCTAAATGGCTTAATGGTAAGAACTCCTGGTGTAGTGAAGAGCATTTAGTTCAACTGGACAGTCTTAGAAAACTATTATTTCTCTTATCTCATAAAAATCCAGCCTGAATACAGTAGAAAGGAGCTTGCTCCCAGATTGAACTTCACTAGAACTTATAAAAAGGAACAGAAGTAAGACCAATAAAAATGCAGAAACAAGACTGATAGGGTGTAGGCCTTTATCTTTTCTTATTCTGAGAACTGATGCAAGGGCAGATTCTGCCAGATATTCCATTTGTGTTCTTGTTGCCTACAGCTGCATAAACATGTCTACCGTATTGCTTATATCCTACTATGTCTTAAAACAAGTCATATATTTAAAAGCTTGATAGCCCATGAAACCCATGTTTCTTGCACCAGAATGTCAGGTATCTAAGTTTACCCCGTGATTATGCAGAGATAAGAGGCGGCAACAGCTTTCTTCCAACCTGTTGGGTGCTTTGTCTTTTAAAAATACAGGATTCCTCAGTTGTAAACCTATTCAAAACAGAGATTTCACCATTTTTGTTTTTTCCCCCAAGTGATCACATATAGTTTTTGAGGCCATATTTCAAGTAGCAGTGCTTCAGACTAGTACAAGCATGAAAACCAATCTCCTTTTATTTCATTATTTATAATTTATTAACTATAATTAATTTCCAGCTATATCTTTAAGAATGTTGTCTTCACATTAAAATTACAATTTGGTCATACAGTAACACCTGAACCTTTCAAGAGTTACACCCAATAGTTGGGGAGGTGCAATTAATCTCTATACTGAAGCCACAAAGCACTAACTTTGCTATACCTTTCCCTGTGGTAAATTTGATAACTGAAGCTCCTATGCTGGACAGCTTGGCACTTTAATGTTATATGAAGTCCCAAAGGGTTGTTTTACAGTAATGGCTGCATTACAACTGTTGTTTACCCCAAACTCTTAGTTTTTGCTCACATAGATAGACCTTCCCCAGAATAATCTGTTTTGGCCCTTCAGGTTGGCCTTTTAAGTCTCTTAAAAATTTCCCCCATTGCTGCTGAACCAAATCTTTTCACCTTGTTAGTAGTTGTCCTTTTCTCCTTCATTCAACCTTTCTTAGCATTATTGACTGCTAGCTTTTCCCATAATGTGGAGCCCTTAGTGCTTGATGTTTCCTTGAAGACATTTCATTATGCAACTAGGTAATATCATCAGTGCTTGCAAGTGTGAGGTTAATTCCTTGTTTATATACAGTAGCTTGCCTGCCATTTTTTGGTGAGGAAGTGGTTTTCTCCCTAGTAGTTTCTTGATTAGGGTATTGTTTTTGGCTCTATTGTTTCTCTAGCCTTAATCCCTACTTATCTGGGTGCAAGCTGCTGGAGAAGATGTATTCTGATCTTTTTGTTTCCTTCTTAGTTTTTTTGATTGTCTCTTTTTAATAGTGTATACATATGTGTGTTAAGTGATAGCTGGTTTGTCTAAATGCAAGCTTCTAGGAATTCCCTAGCATTTTCTTTCTTTCTTTCTTTTGGTCTAGAGGGCTTAGTTTCCCAGCAGTTTGATAAGAAGGGACCTGGAATATGCTTTCACTACTAGATCTGGTAGAGCTGAACTCTTCCACTAAAACCTAGCTACTCCAGATTTTAATGGAAGCAACACCCTCCCAGTGATTTTACATGGTTATATCACAAAGCTAGTACATGTCACCACCACCCCACTTTCTCCATCCCTTTAGAAATAAGGAAATCTGTTCTCCATTATGCCACAGTTGGCTCCTCTGTATGGCATTTGTCATGTACCCCTCATTTAAAATATTGTTCATATCCTAAAGGTTCCAATGCTGACTCAGCTTTTTAAAGGTTTGGCCCTCTTTTCCTAAAGACGTCTTAAATTTAACATTAAGCTTTTTGTATTTGATCTGAAGTTTACATAATATCGGGGACATTTCTTTCATTTTGACATGATGTCAATATGCAACATCTTTCAAGCGTTGTTAATGTGCATGCACGATTGGTTAACTTTTTTGTGTTCTTCATTTGATACATTTATAATACGTTTCTCTTTACAATTGGGAACATTGTACTTTAACTATAGATGAGAAAGCTAAGAAAATGTTCTTCCCTCCTAAAATTGTAAGTAGGTACCTAGTTTCCATTGCTGTGGCACATTGCACAGCCATAGACCAGCAAAATAGCAGATACAAATTCAGAATTTTTATTCCTTAACTATTCTTAACTATTCCATTAAAAGTTGACTCAGGCAAAAAAAGTTTTACAGGATCTCTCAGGGTTAGACTTGAACAAAATCTCATGGGAACAGCCGTTCCTTAGGTGTAGGTGGCTGTTAAGAATGCCATTGTGTCTATTTTGTGGAAGTATAATCCTCTTACTGAATCAAGATTGTGCTGTATTGCGGTTTCAGAATGGCAGCTCTGACTCAGGCAATTTCATCTGACTTTAGGATTTTTTTTAAAAAAAGAACATTTCTAAATGTTTGGAAACAATTCCAGTGGGAAAGAGAAGAACTGAGTTTGCTGTACTCTTTGGCTGACTTATTCACTCAACTAACAATGTCCCCCTGGGTACTTTTTAAGACTGAGATGTTTTAAAAACCCTTCTGCTTTCTTTCATATAACTTTGATCAATGTAATTTTCCTCCATCTTTTCTGGTTGTTTTTTTGGCCCAGGTTATGGAGATTTGCATTTGAACAGTTTAATTTTGCTGTCTCGAAAAAAAATATATCAAACCATTTTATCATTTCCAATATTAAATAATTACTTATACAATCTCCTCTGCATATGGAATCATCTCTCAAAAGACCTACTAATGGGCCTACGGCTATCACCAGTGTGTTGAATTATACAGACCAAATAATTCAATAATGAAATAATTCATGAGACTGTTTTTTAGGCAGTTAGGGGAAACTGCACCATTGGTAAATGTTTATGGCGATTCTTAATTATGCAGGTCATGGTTGTCCCCAAAGTACTTTTTAAAGGGCAACTGGACTTTGTTTTTTTCTTGAAGATATTTCCCCTTTCACCCAAGAAGCTGCTTCAGCTCTTGGTTGAAGAGCTGAAGCAGCTTCTTGGATGAGAAGCAAAACATCTTCAAGAAAAAACAAAACAAAATCCAGTTGCCTTTTAAAAAGCACTTTTGGTGCACCGTTGATACAGATCCCTGGGATATAGGAGAATCAGTGCAAATAGATTTAATGATGAAAGTCAGTTATTGCTGTTTATTGGAGGTAGCTGAATGTAAGGAAAAGAATAAAATATCCCTGGAACGAAGGTGCACTTGGCTAAAGGCCGTTAATGTTTATTCACATTTGAGAGAAGGTATGTCTTGTGTATGTGTTAGCTGAAAGAATCTTGCAAAATGCCTTAAATACTTGCTTGTTGTGATTAATGGGGCTGTTAAGTTTAATGGCTATTCATTTAACCAATTAGCTGACTGAAAAGCAACATTGAAACACTCAGTATGATGGGCTTCCCTCTGAGGCTTGCATTAGTAAGGAACCTTTCTCCTTTTGAAAGTCTCCTTGAACTCTGGTGGACTTTGCTGACAACAGTGCCATGTAGCTTTTCACATCTCCAGGGAATTTCTGCTTATCATCGATTAACTACAAGCCAACAGGCAAGCAAGTAATATTACTTGTGTTTGCTGTCTCTGTACCCGTATATCTCATCCCAAATAAATCCTCAACCTAATGATTTAAAAATGAACGCACAACTCAACTCCATGAGGAAAAAAACAACCAAAAAGCAAAAACAACAATGCGGATTGTATGTGTTCTACCTCTATGTTTTGATACTGATGGCTTATTTATAACATGTAACTTATCTCTTGATGCTGAGGAATCAATTATTGATGTGCTTTTAAGTATCAGACCATAACTTGCTTTTGTTTCTTAGATGTTCTGGAAAAGATTTGTTTTTCTCCTTCACGGCCCCTGTGAGCATTTGTCCATACTTCATACAGAAAGCCCAATTTCTTAATGTATTTCTCACTGTTTTTATGGTTTAATTTTTCTCCAGAGCCCAACTTCATTGCTGCCTATGACATTGGTTTGTTCACTTACTTCTTTTTCCGTGAGAATGCGGTAGAGCATGACTGTGGAAAAACAGTCTATTCTCGTGTGGCCAGAGTTTGTAAAAATGACATTGGGGGACGATTTTTGTTGGAAGATACATGGACAACTTTCATGAAGGCTCGGCTGAATTGTTCCCGTTCTGGAGAAATCCCTTTTTACTACAATGAACTGCAAAGCACATTTTATCTTCCTGAACAGGATTTGATCTATGGAGTATTCACAACCAATGTGTGAGTTTGTTATTTCTTTTGTCTTCCCACTCAGTTGTTGCTAATGCTTTGAGGTTTTTTCCCCTATAATGCTGTATTTATTTTAAGAAGTCAAGGATTTTTCCACTAAACAATTACCTTAAAATTGCCTCTGTGTGTGTGTGTGTGTGTGTGTTGTGTGTGTGTGTGTGTGTGTGTGTGTGTGTGTGTGTGAGGGTGAGAGAGAGAGACAGAGAGAGACAGAGAGTACTCTATAGGGGGGTGTTGATCATCTTATATTTGCTGTGCCAGTATCTTCAACTATCCCTTGGTAAAATACATGGGTGCCTGCAGAATAACCTGAAGATAAGCTGAAGCTTAAGAGGACTTCCTTCCTTGCTCTGCGAATGTAGCTCTTTCTGTAATATCTGAAGAGGACTTGGAGTGGAGGGGTTGGTTACAATTACTGCGGGTAAATTAAAAAATAAGTTCAGAGGAGGAAGTTGGTAAAATGCCTAATGAGAATATCTGTATACTGCTAAAACTTTTCCTTCTGTATCTTTTATACCTGGGCGAAATGGTACATCACAGGGCCAACCGTTTTTGAACCAGAGTACCTCAAATGGACTAACTCTGTGAGGAGATAGGCAGTTTCAAAATCTAATGAATAAAGAAACTTACAGAATGAGTCCAAAATCTAGAACTCCTGAGGGAATGAAATTTGGGGAAGTTGGGACTGCTAGTCAGGTGTTCCTCGTTTTCAGTGTTCCAGGATAGTTTCTAGACACTTTCAAATCCCTTGTTCCCTCCCTCACACAGAGGGAGGGAACAACAACAACAGGGAGGAAGGACCCCTGCATGCCCTTTCCGGTCAATGCCATCTCCCCATGTTCCTTTCCCAACTCATGCACCTCTTGCACACTCCCAAGTATCCTCCCTGACCTTCACCGCCCCCACCCCCATCTGTGTGGCATCTCTTACACATGCCCACACAACATTCCTGATCCTGCTACCCCCCTGCGTTAACCCATGCACCACTCTTAATCCCCCCTTCCTTAAACCATGCACCACCCTTACGCATCCCCAGGCTCCATTCTTGACCTGTGCCACTTCATCTTCCCTGATCTATGTAGCAGTTCTTGCACACCTCTGTACACTATTCCCAATCCATGTCATTTACCTGAGTGCCTGTCCCGACTTATGCAGCACCCCTCACAGACCTCCAGGTATGTTTCCCAACATGTATTTACACACACACACACACATACTTTGCTCCGTCACTCAGCCAGCAGCAGACCCTTGCCTGCCTGCTGACCTTGGACTTGGAACTTGCTGCTGTCTTCCTCGTTGACTTTCTCCCTGCAATCTTCCCATAAACAAAGTAAAATACCAGCAGGAATTGGAGGGGGAGGGGAGTTTCTTGTTGTGGCTAGTCCCAAATTCATGAACCTTGGTTTTCCAGAAGGAATAACATTGGAAATTATAGTCTGATTTATCTGTGGATGACTCCAAAGAAAAGCTGTGACTGATACGGAGAAGCACAAAGCTTGTTCATATCTTGGTGTATTAAACTGAGGTGTGATTAGCTGGAGAGGATTCTTACTTGGTAACTATCCAAAGTTGATGTCTCTGATGAATCAGGGAACCAGTGGTGGTATTCACAATTTTTTTTACTACCAGTTCTGTGGCCATGGCTTTGTGGGCATGGTGTGGTTTGGTGGGCAAGGCAGGGGAAGGATACTGTAAAATCTCCATTCCCATCCCACTCCAGGGGAAGGATACTGCAAAATCTCCATTCCCTCCCCACCCCACTAACCTGCTTTCCAGCTCTGTTCTCCTGTGCAGGGCAACAAAAGAAGACCCAGCCGATCAGCTGGGACTCGATGGGAGGCAGGGAATAGATGGGGGCGGGGCCAGTCAGAGGTGGTATTTGCCGGTTCTCTGAACTACTCAAAATTTCTGCTACCGGTTCTCCAGAACTGGTCAGAACCTGCTGAATACCACCTCTGCAGGGAACAGTGTGTTTCTTTCATTGTTCAGTGTATATATAGAAGTTAATGTATTTTTCTCCATCTCACCCTTAATTGTTTACACTGCACCCCTGGTAGTAGAAAACAGGAGTTTATCTCCAATTATGTCTTATTTTTTTCTTTAACTTAAGAAGAAAAAAGACATTAGAGAACATCTTCAGAAGTGAATAGACAAATTATTATTGATAATAGCTGAAGTTAGATCAAATAAAAATTTTGTGCTGTGACACAATGTTCTTTCAAATATTCAAAGACAGAAAAATGTTCCAATTTGTCAGCCATCTAGATAAATAATGGTAATTATTCTTTTAACTTCTATCAGGACTTGTGTCATGCTTATGCTTCACGCATATAAATTAAGCCTTGTGTTCACTCCAGTAATATGGTTGATATAAAGGGGCCTTATTTGTATCTTAAAGCACCCTTGCTTTTCAAGGATGAGGAAAATGTATCTATAATCACAAACCTTGAAGCTTTCATGTAATGAGGTCAATAGCAATTTCAAAACAAAAGCAAAAACAAAAACAAAACCCCAAGGCTTCAGCCAGTTTGGTACACTTCATTGTGGAAAAATGTCTCATATTCCAATTTATTGTACATTCTTGCATAATACAAAGCTAGGTCAGCAGGAAAAAAGGTATTTAGGGAACCAACTTTTGAAATATTTAAAGAGTTGTTATTAAAGTTTCCAGACGGGTCACTGAAAAACATTTACAAACTTTTGGATACGATGTGTTTTCTCATCGGCCTATTAATCTTTGGTGGGCCAGAAACTACACAGCCAGTCTGCCTTTTAAATGAAATGGTGATCAAATATACCCATAAATGCTGGAGAGGGACATGCTGTGGGGTGGTTTTTTGTTTTTTTTTGCATGTTCATTGCTTTCCCAACAATCTGTCACTTTCATTTAATGCGCCAATTCTTCAGAGACCCGTATGACATAAATGTGATTATACAGCAGACAAAACTTAATAATAGTATATCAGAAAAGTCTTTCTTGGACTTCCTCTATACTCTTAAGAGTTTTTCTTTGCAATAATATTTTGCAAAATGGAATTGCAAAATAAGTTAACTTGGGGCAGTGGGTGTTGCCTGCCTAGCTCTGTGTTTATACAGTATTAGCCAATTGTCAAGAGTCCCCTTGTAGGGGAGATGGGCGGCATAAACAAACAAACAAGCAAATAAATATAAAATAAAATAAAACCAGTGAAGAGAATTCTAAGTGAGTTCCTGTACTGAAGGGGAATGATTTAGAGCAGTGTTTTTCAACCGTAGCAACTTGAAGGTGTCTGGACTTCAGCTGCTAGAATCTCTCAACCAGAATGCTCTTTCAATGAACATGCACTCAGTGAACAATGAACATACATCTAGCAAGTTGGCTGGCTGGGGGATTCTGGGTACTGATGTCCATGATCTTCAGGTTCCTGAAGTGGATTTATAGCCATTACATAGAGTTGGAGAATGCAACTTTTCTTGGCAAAGGCTTGCTGATTTCTAAAAAGTTATCTCCAAAACTGTTCTCCCCAAAGAGTGATAGCAGGGCTAGGCTAAAAACCATAGTTGATTACCTTCACATCTGAATTTTGATGAAATCAGAAGCAGCTTATAGGATAACTCTTTATGTATTTAATCAGTGTTCTTGTTCACTTTAACCAAGAATTTCTTCAGAAGATTCTCAATCTCTAGAGGTTGCAGGCACATTTTTTGGGAAGCAATGTACTGCCCAGGTTGACTTTAGAGGGCAAAAGTTTAGCTACTTATAGGTTAATACAGTAGCTCCTTGCTCTTCACGATTCTTATTCTTATTAGTATAGCTAGGAAAGTAGGTTCTTTGTGGGCTAGGAAACTAAATTATACAGAGATACTACATTTCAGCTGATTTGCTCAAGAAGTATAGTTGGATAAAGATTTTGAGAATCCTGAGAACAGAATCTACCTCACTCCAAGTACATTGACTTCTTATGGTTCCATAAAGCAATGGTGGCTGATTTGAACATTTATTTGACACCAGAAACCTTGTTGAAATGATAAAGGCTTAGTATTGAAAAAAAGCTGACACCAAACAGAGCGCAGGACAACTCAAAGAGCTCTAATGCAAGATCAGAAGATGTGGAGAGACCTAGTCCATAGAATCTCCAAGAGTCAGACATGACTGAATCATCATCATTGTTGGAAAAAAAATCACAATAATCATAATCATAATAATACTTAACCACTCTGTAAGACAGTTTGGAATTCTTTGCATACTGTAACACTACAGTATTTGTATACTTCTGTGTATCTTTTTCACTTGAAATTTTGGAATGTTTGAATCAGCGGAATATCTCTGAATCAAGTGTTTTCAGGGTAGGCTTCCTTGTTTATTGTTCAAGCTCCAGTCCTGCATTTTCAGCCCACAACTGCGTGCTAACAGAGTTGTCACTCGGCCCAATATGCCAGATCCAAGGCAAAAACCTGTTGAATCATCCAAATATGAGTTTCTGCTACAAAATTTGCTGCGAAACATTCAGTGGCTTGCTTTAGAAACCCCATTCCAGTCTCTAACCATGCGCAGGTGGGTTTTTTTTTTCTTTTTTAGACTATTATTTTGCTTCTCCACTTGTGCCTGAAGGCATTAGGTTGTCATTTGTCATTAGCATTGTCTAAAGAGCAGCCTTCTGTGAACATGCAACATGTCAGTAACACTTAGGCAGGAATGAAGAAAGGTTCATCATGCAGTGCTTTGACAAGTTCACAGCCAACTGCTGCATTGCTCAATGGAAGGGAAGGATGGCTGGGAGAGGAGAGCAAGCCTGCAGACTTATTCCTTTAGCAACTGCTTTTGCTTTGGCAAGAGGAAAAAGGGATCTTCTGTTCAGGTACAGATCAAGAAAGTTCTTAAGATGTTTTGATGAGCCTGGTGGAGTCTTCCTAAAAGTGTGGCCTAACCCCCTTGTGAAGAATGCTAGACTCATAAGCAGTTCCTGCAGCACGTGCTGGAAGTTGCTAGGATACTAATTCAAATATCACACAAACTGCATTCATGCTTCTTAACACGGGTAAAAAATAATAAAAATGGATCTTTATATTGTTTTCTCCATTTCATAGGATCTCTTTTCTTTTGGCTAGACCAGGAGGGTCCTTTTTAAATACTTTACCCAAATACTTGTTTCCTACAACTTGGAAGTTGTTCCCATTGGTAAAAAAAACATTACTAGTTTAGTAAAAAAAAACAGTTCTTTTCATAGAAATCCAAATTATTTCCAGTAGCGACACAATATGAAAAGCAATCATTCAGATATTTGAACAGCAGGATGACATGTCTTTCATGCTGTTTGGAAAGAGCCTTCTGTATTTTTAGACACTTTTTAAAAACTATTTTGAACTCGCTGATTTCTCTTTGATGGTTGTCCTCCTTCTTCCCACCACTTAAAATAACACAGAAATGTTTTGAATCTTCAGTTTGGCCCTTCCAAGTACTTTGTCTTAAAACTGTTACTCTTCAAATTATAAAATCTCAGCTCTTTGTAGAGTTCATTTGATTAAGGATAGACTATCTCAAATAGATTGAAAAGAGAGAGTGAAAAGAATATTATGTAGATAAGTAAAACAGATCCGGCATAGTTGAAAACTTATGTCAAATATTTTGTTTGGCTTTCTCACCTACTCTTGTATTTCAGCTGTTACTTCCAATCTATTCTTAAACCACAAAAATGCACTTGTGTGTTGTAATAGCTAAGTGGTTTCCTTTTCAACTATTAATCTGATAATGACTGACATGTGCATTAAACAAAGACCACAGTTAAGTGACTGCAGTTCTTGATTTTAATGGATCTATGTTAAGGAAAACTGAATTCATACTCCTAGAGATATAAATATATTGTAAAAAAAAGTATCATTTCAAGATTTCTTCTCTTTTTAATTAGCAGAAGAAGGGGGGATCTGTAGAGATTTTGTTTTATAAAGTCATTTGGATATTGAAAAATCTATACCAGAAACTTTTTGAATGTACAAAAACATATAGGAACATTTAGCGAATAATGGGAATAACCTGGGAATAATCACAACAATGTTAATGGTATCCAATAACGGTTTGCTAAGATTTGGCTTGCTTCAGAGTTCTGCTTCAGTAGATCATATTCTAGGTCTTTGGAGTGTGTTCAGCTGCTTCTTCCTGAAAGTTATATATTCTGAAGTTCTGATAGATAACAGTATTAGGTAAAAGATTAGACAAGTTCCTTATTTCTGACATGTCTTGAGCCTCTTATATAAATAGAATGGCTACTTTAATAGATGTGGCTGGACTTCGTCAAGAGGGTGAATTAATAGGTTGCAATGGAACCTGTGGAGCTTAAAATTAAATCTCACCTTGAAAAATAAACTAGAGGTTTAAAAATTAAACCCACTTACTACCAGTCAGTATTGATGGGGTATCAGTATTAATATTCCTTGTGAATTAAACTGTGTGTGACTTTCCATGTCAAAATTGCTTCTCCCAGTCTTAAATCACCTGACGTGTTTGGGGGTATGTGGCTTTTCAATGTCTCCTAATTGTCATCTCATCCATGTTGATTCTTTTCATCCCTTCTGAGGCCTATAGCCTTGTGTGCTGCTTCTTGGCAATCTATGTGTCATTTATTTTCCTGAGATTTGATGTCTGTTATGATGAAAGTGTCAGTGCTCCAAAGATTAAATTGATTTTCTTCCTTTCTCTTCCCTTCCGTCCTTATGTCTAGAAACAGTATTGCTGCTTCAGCAGTGTGTGCCTTCAATCTCAGTGCTATTACACAAGCCTTTAATGGGCCTTTCCGGTACCAGGAAAATCCAAGATCTGCATGGCTGCCAACAATCAATCCAATCCCAAACTTTCAGGTATTTTAGGACAATCTCAACTCACTCAGAAACTCTTCTGTTTCATCTGCAGTAAAACATTGGAATTCATCAGTCTTGCTTGTTGACTAGCATATCAAGTTTGAATATAAGGAATTTAAGTTTATATGGGTAGATGGTATGAATTAGTGGAACAGAAGCTTTGCTCTGGCTGTATATAAAAGGGTAATAGAATGATATTATTTTGTCATTTCTTAGCTTAATATAGCCAGGAAGAAAGATTATAGGAGATAATATTCACTTAAGTGTCTATTTATCTTCCTTTTATATCTTCCTTTTCTTTTAGGAATTTGAGCCGACAGACTTCCCAGTTCTATTTTCATTTCCATAACAATACTTTGAAGCTGATTAAAGATAGTGGTTGGCCAAAAGTCATCCAGTGATCTTTGATAGTCAAATGTAGGCTTCAGTTTTGCAATCCCAAATCTTACAATAACTAAATGTGTTAACAGTTAGGAAAGCTATACATTATTTTCCTGTGTTAACATTGTCCATCTCCAAGATTATATTTTTTGACAGTAAACTTTCAATTCTATTCAGTACAATAAATTTAGTTTATTGGATTTTGAGGCTGCCTGACTCACAAAAAAAATTTGGGCAATTTACAATATTTAAAAGACCATGTAATTGGTCTTTTATTTAAAAGACCATGTAATAGTTAAAGGACCATGTAAAAGACCATGAAAAGGGAGCATGGCCGCCTGTACAAAAACACATAAATGACATGTAGGAAAAAAATTGCCTCTACAATTTTCTTTCACAAGCAATCTAACCCCAGGCTAGGAACAAAGCCAGATCTTCCATGTCTAGATCAAACTTTAAACTGTCAGAATGAAGCCACCTTCGTCATTCGCCAAAAATAAGTTATTATTGGTATATGTTTCTGGTGGTAGCTGCTATAGGGTAAGGAGATTAGAGATAACATTGTGATTGCCTGTATAAACCAAAGGTACTTACAAATGAATGACAGAACTACTTATTCAATAAAATTTTAGGTAAACTTTTAAATAATTGAGTTAAATAATATGATACTAAATACCTTTGTTCTCTTCTTCTTCTTCTTCTTCTTCTTCTTCTTCTTCTTCTTCTTCTTC